CGAAATCCGGTATATTCCGGATTCCAGAATCCGGTTGTTCCGGATACATGTAAATCCGGCGGAACCGGATTTCACCGGATAGTGCAAAATCTGGCGGAACCGGATTCCGGACCGGGATCCGGCACACCCCTACGTAGTACTACCGAATACCTCAAGTTTCATTCATAAGAGTTTGCCGTGTGCAAAAACTAACACCATTGGTCAGGGAAAGCTTTAGTTAATTAGTCATGTGCCTAAGTTGAAAGTTCAAAATAAGTAGATACCAAACAACATTTTAGAGGGTGCGTCGCCTTAAATAGACTATATACTATATATATATATATTTTCTAATGCATACATTTTTCTGATCTGCATTACATTTATTTTAAATGTAACTTAATTTTAGATGGACATTATCTGTTTGTATTGAAAATTTTATAGCAATAGCTTTAATGGTTTAGTAATTATGTCATTTTTTGAACAAATAAATTTTTCTACAATTGTCGTTATCCACACCAAATGCTTATAAAGTCATATTTAATTAAATATAATAAGTTAATTCACAATTTATTATGTCACTGTTAAACATTGTATTGTAAATGTCTCCTCCAAATTTGAGAGCTCTAACTTTAATAGCCAAAAAGATACAAGCAAAATAGTACAAAAATAGTAATAATTCGATCACAGTTTTAAAAATTAAATACAAAGCCAAATAGTGGGGAAAAATAAATCACTAAAAAATTCATAACTTTTCTCCTATAAGGGATAGAAAGATTATCTTGGTGTCATTGGAAAGCTTAAAGCCAGCTCTTTCCTGTGATATGCTCTATGTCTGTGTCAGATGCATTTGAAAATTTGAGTTGGAGTACCTATATATTGCATTTACCGGTATAATGGACGCGGAAAATTTGGTAAACAGGAAAGCCATATAATATATAATTAATACATTATATTAAATTTACTGATATAAATAGTGAGTATAGTGCATAGTTAGATAAGCTACAGTTTATCTATAATTATTAACATTATTAACTCTTTCCATGCCAGGGGGTTCTCCACGTTCGTGCCAGACCAGTATTCGGCCAATGGAAATTTTTTAGGGTGCTCCTAGCTATTAAATAATTTTGAATACATTTCTTTTAGCAAGATAGCTGTATTTCATATCAAATTAAAGGAAATTAGACAGTAAGAGTTATCCTTCGTTTAAGAACAAAAAAAGTCGGATTGATTAAGAGCCAAAAGAAACGAAATAAACTACATAAGTGATATCGACAGTATACTGTGGGTTGGCACGAACACAACCAGTCAAATCGACAGTATACTGTCGATTGGCATGCAAAGAGTTAAACTTATTTTTCTTATACAGCATTAGTTCTGAAAATAAAATTATCATTAAAACAAGAATTATATAGCTCGTGACGCGAACAGCGGGATTGGGTACCAGAAAATGGAGATGCGGTCCATGTTAAAAAAGGACACATTAAGTCGCACTTTAAAAATTCATAACTTTAAAACTACAACAGCTAAAAATATGATTTTGGTTTTATAATTCTTTAAAAGATTAACTTTATTTAACAATGACATTGGTTTATTTTTACAAAAAGATTTAATTTTCTAATCAAAGTGCCTATAAGCATAAGTCTACAAGTCAACAAGTTACAGTTAAGCCGTTAAGCCTAAGGCTGAAATTTAAGCGCGATTAATTATTTCTAGTGATATAAAATTAAAACTTCCTATTTACCTGATGGAACTAAAGGCCTAAAATAGCGTCTTTTTGTTCATGTACAATAACCATTTAGCAAAATTGAACAAGATAAAAAAAAAAAGTAGCCTACATTTCATGAATCTTTTGTCATAAATGACGCCATTGTGGGAAAACAAGGAGAACTCTTCTGTCTTCAAAGATACGTTATGAAAGTTGCCCAATTGGATATATTTAGATTTAAATAATTTTTTTAAAATTTTATAGATCTATCTACTTTGTCTGATTTTTCTGTCTAGCCCACTGGATCCATGCACAGCAATGTAAAGGTGGTCCTCGCAAGGGACCTCAATATCAGGGGGCGCATTCGCCCAGGGTGCTGCTTTTCCTTTGAACGACTGTGCATCCATTACGGACGTAACGCGGCTAGAATTTTGAGGGTGGGGGTTATGTGGGAAATGTTTGTTAAAACTTTAAATAAAATTGTCAATTTCCTTTCTTAAAATTTGTGACAGTTTCGATTTCTTTCTCAATAAATAGCTGGTGATTTACTAAGACTAAGAGGCAAAAAGAGGGAAAATAATGAAATATATGTCAGTAGCGAAATAAACACCATTGCAAACAGATGACTAATAAAGTAACTTGGTTCCATCCAGATACATAAAATCACTAACACTGAACACTGCATCTCATTTTACTCACCACAAACGAGAGTCAACTTAGGTGGCATCTAAATAATTAATTTCCATCTATCAAATTAGAGCTGACCAACCACAGACCATTTAAATTGCTTATTTGCCTACTATGACTCACAATTGTCGAGAAAAAGTAAATCCACTTGCATAGGAATCAGGAAGGGGACTGTGGAGGGGGTGGTCCACACAAATGCCACTTTTTTTTAAATTTATAATGAGGGGCGGCATTTTCGGCGAGCTGAAGATTGGGTGCAACAACTTTCTAGTGTACATATCGCAACATAACCCCTGCTCCGCTCGTAACGATTCCCAGATCTGCTCAAATTATAAGGACACGTTACACATCACCCAACGCTTGGACATTGGTCGCTCTCTGTTGTTGGTGGAATTCTATTACGTAGCCGAGTCTCTCGCTTCGCACCTTTTTTTGCCGTTTCCCTGGTCTGCTGATTACCAAAGTCATTATCTGACTCTCAATAAAGTAATACGTCGGCATAGCTAGAGCGACGTGGCCTCCACGGCTTTGCCATGTTTCTGTTTAGTAAGGCTGTGGGCAGCAACGCAGTCGCCGCGGCTTACCCGTGTATAGGTTTACTTTACTTTTAAGCAGATTTCTGATCGTTAATGATTAATGCTGCATAAACTTTATGATTTATGGTTTGTGTCCGTTGCGGTGGCCGCGCAAATGAACGCAGGACAAGTAAACCCACAACAACACATCCAAACACAGGACTAGTGAACCAACTGACAAGTTAACACGCAGAAAAGTGAATACCGGTATAAAGAACATAAACAGCTGAACCCAACAACTGGGTTTGAAAAGGCCTTGCTGAGATAATTGTCATTCGTGTCTTGTTCTTGTAAATTTATTTTCACTGCCAATTCGCAATGATTGGTTCCGAAAGATTTCAGTGTTCAGCTACTTTTATAAATACCGGTATGTAGGGCCTAAATGTTTTTTAATGTGCTGAAAATTATTTTACAAAATTGTGTAAATAACCATTTTTATTACCGGTATATGTCTTGGGCAGATTTTTGTTTCCTAAACTGAGTCTATTGATTTCTATCTTATTAAAATTATTAAAAAAACATTAACATGTTCTACAATATTGTTTAACATTTGTAAAAATATCTAGAAAATTCTTATCTTTTATGATAATTTCACATTGATATTATGCTTTAAATTTCATTTTATTTGACTCCTATACCCGGTATATCTAATATTGCTTAATTACTTAATTGAATGTTTTTCTCTTTTTAAATAAAGTGGTCCAGTTAGGATTTTCCATTTATCTCTGACGTCAAATGTATTACCGTATGAGGAAAAGTACCGGTATTATTACCAGTACCACTTGCTTCAAAATTTGCAAGGTTTTTTTCTATTATAATTATATTCTCTAGATAATGATTGATGTTTTTTTTTTTTTAACTACAGGTCTCATAAACAAAATTCCGAAGTTTTTATATTTTTATTGGGCTTGGGGCTAGTGGGTTGTAGTTGTAGGGAAAATGCATTCATTTATATTCTACTTCTATCAATTATATCTATGTTCTTAAATTGTTTTTTTAATTAACGAGTGGAATGTGTTCATGATGTTATGCATCCAATGTTGTTCAAGTAACCTTTAATTTTTTTAATAAGCATTTATGTAAAAAACTCATATCGGAATTCTTATTACCGTACTACTACTAGTACTAGTACTAACACCAATATAAAAAAAAGCTAAGATACCGGTAAATTGTAAAAGAAAGTCAAACTCAGCCAGTTGTGTGTAGTGTAATGCAAACTCGACTGACAATGGTTGGTATGCTACCGGTACATATCTTTGAAGTTTAACAGTAAAGTCAATATCCTGAGCCTGTCCATGTGTCACTAAACGGATTTCTCAACATGCCAGTTCTAGTAGTACAGGTAGTTAAGTAGTATGAGAACATTTTTAATACGGGTATGATAATTTGTTTTAAGTTGTCAATGTTATTTACCGACATCTATTTTGCCATACACTTGACAGTGACATTTCTAGAGTTCTTTATCAAAAGCAGGCAATTTGCTTATGAAGTTATGTTCTTTTTTTATCAACCATAAGCCGGTATGTCATTTCCGTAGAACATTTGCCCCCCACCCTGAATTTGCAGGTTTTATTTAAATTGCCATGTACTGAACTGTGGCACCTCCAGAACAGGTAATAACCAAGTTTTGGTTTTGCTCTGTCAGGAGCATTAAAATTAAAGTAAACTTAGGAAAGCACATAAAAACATGCCTCAATTTACATCAAGGTCTACATTTTTTCTTATGGACCAAATCTTGATGGCAGAATTGATGTGAAAGAATTCAACACTTTGAGATGACTAGGTGAATGGATGTTGTTCAACAAGATCAGGATGTGGTTTGTCAAAGCCACCCCATTTACAGTACCTGTATTTCTTTATCTCAAGGAAACAATTCTACCAAACACCTGATATAATAAAAAAGGACATTCAAATTGACTACAGATACTAGTAGTACTAGTACCAAAGATATTTTGATGGGACAATAAAGATCTTTTACATACTAATAGCTTACTATACCAGTACACATGAATGAAATTACAGACAAGTTCAAAATACTGAACAAAAAGAAGATACAAGTTTTAACATTTTATTTTCATTTACTCATCAGGAACCTCAATTTCTCCACTATCTATTTTCTCAATGACTGAATGTGGAGGCAGTTTGTCGATCGTGCAGCCAATAGACTGAGCAGTTCCTGTTTGAGGAAAAATACTTTAGTTAGTATATTTAATATAAATGGTAGTATAGGCCTACTGTAGTATGGTACATAAATATATCTTTCAAACATGGCACAGACTATGTATATACATTGTATTCTTTAGTGGCATGGATGAATGAATCTCAGAAATGAAATTTATATTCAGAAATAAAATAATGTAAAAATATTTTTAACTCACCAAGAACCTCTTTAACAGTACCAGACAGTGCCCTGGCCATACTACGTGATCGCATCTGTTTTGCAATCTTGATAATGTCGTCAATTGTCAAGTTGCCATTGTGCTTTACTATTTTTTTAATTGAGAAAGGATATTAATTAGACCATAAAGAAACTTCATCGCTAATGAATAAATAGCATAAATGAAAGAATTCTAACAGCTCTAGGATTAGTTGTAAAGAGCAAGACTACAAAAATGTTCAGAAACTGACTCCTGAATAACCTTATGAAAACTTGCCGCCCTGCCTCTAAGCAAAGGTGCATAACTACACTTTAAAATTGATGGTTCATTTTTTTAAAGAAGAAAAAACAGAACAAGCAATGTCGACATTAAATATAAATGAATTATAAATTTTGTAATAATTAAAAAAACGTATTTAGAGAATACCCAGTACCGGTACCCTTTAAATTATCTGAATTTGACTGTCTCTGGATTTTTAAAAGTCAAAGGAATAACCATAGACCACTAGTGCTAGCAGCATGTACTTTTTCTGCTAGTGATAAATTATTTCAGGGTTATTACAACCCTCCCCGGTCAACTTTGAACACTTGAAAATGTAAATAACATTGCACTTGTTGGGAAAATAAATTATAAAAGTTTATCATAACATTCTACACAAAATATCATAACCTACCATGCTTAACCTTTTTCCTATCACGGGGTGGCTCTTTCAGAGCACGAATAATGAGGGCTGCTGCACTAGGTACAACCTCAACCTTAGCCTGTCTGTTTTGAACCACAAGCTTCACTGTAATCTTCAGACCTTTCCAGTCAGCTGTACCCTTCTGAATGTCATCACCAACCTTCTTTGGAGACTGTAAAAGAAGTTTCAAAAAGTTACTAAAATACCAGGGTAGCATTCTAGAAGAGATCTAAATTCCAAGGCTAACAATTAGGGCAAACATTTATCAGGTATTCATATATAAAATTTTTAAAATACACAAGTGACTATTGCAATTAATAAAGACTGAATGTCTGTCTACATACCAAGCCCAATGGACCAATCTTAGGGGCAAGTGAAGAAGTAGCTGGTACTTCACCTCCAACTGCTCTGCAGTAAACTAGAGAAAAGAACAGATGAGGATAATTGCTTCAAGTTCTACAAACTAGGCATGACATAATCATTTGACCTATTGTTGCTGGGTCAACCACAGAACACAGTTGGAGTTAAGTTTGCCAAATGATAAAAAAGTGTCTCAGGCACCTTTAGTTTATGAACTTTATGACAGAAGCCAGCTTTGTCTTTGTGTGGCCAACAAATATCTCGAAGGCTACAGCGTGATAGTTTATTCTTAGTTTAGTACCGGTATTTCATTCAATCACTGCAAAGTATTTTAATTAATTTAAAACCCAATGGGACCTAAATAAATAAACAAGTTTGGGTAATTTACCACTTGAGCGATGGCCAAGAAAAAATCCAGCTGTTCCGGTTTGAAGGGCTATTTAAACAATTATTCTTATCTTGTTTTTACGACGTACATATTCATTCCAGCACATATACAGTAGAACAAATAACACAAGAAAATTTTAAAAAATGTAAAACGAATTTTAAAAAAAAAATTAAAATAGAAGAAATCAAACAATGTGTAAAAATGACATTATGCATAGTTCTCCCCCAAATGATATTTTCCAGAACTTCATTCTCGCCTTGGGGGAGAACTATGCATAATGTCATTTTTAAACATTACATTGTTTGATTTCTTCTATTTTAATTTTTATTTTTTATTAAATTGTTTTACATTTTCTATTTTTAAAATTGTCTTGTGTTATTTGTTCTACTGTATGTGTGCTGGAATGAATATGTACAACGTCGTAAAAACAAAATAAAAATAATTGTTTAACTCATTCCCGACGTTTGCGACTAAATGCGTCTTTTACGGGTTTCGCCGGATGCGACCAAATGCGCCCCTGCGCATAGCAACACACATCTCTATGTATTTAAAAATAGCAATGAAATCTCTCAATTGCGTGATTTTAATTTAAAAACCGGAAGTTTTTATCTTGTTTCACTTTAAAACTACGTGTGCTTTAGTACGGCGCGTCTATATGTAGCATGTGTTCGTCCGAGGTGCCGAAAATCGATTTTTTGGCCATTGTTCGTTATTTTTTCACCGCTAATGTTATTTTTATATTAAACCTTATTCATTTTTTGTTGCATTTATTCTTAATTCATTAACATTAATATTTAGTAGCTTAAATACATATTTAAAAAATGTAAACAATTTAAAAACGGGGTTACTTCCTTTCTCAGGCAAATAAATTAAATACGGAAGAAGCATTGCAGGAGGGAATGAGTTAAATAGCCCTTCAAACCGGAACAGCTGGATTTTTTCTTGGCCGACGCTCAAGTGGCAAATTACACAAGTTTGAACTTAAATTTATTCTCAATGGTTGCAACTGCTAAATGAAAATGTGTTCTTCAGCAATTTTGACAGATCATCTAAATGCATCCTGGCGCATTTTGACACACCTGTCCTGTCTTTATTTTCAAATATTTTATCTAGCATATTTGTCAGAGGTGACAGTTCAATTTTTTGGTCATTTCTCCAATGTTAATATTATATTTTTAATAAACCCTCTTTATTTCTGGATTATCCTACATTAATATTTGGCAGCTTAAAACATATTTTACAAATTTATATCAATTGCAAAACGGATTTACTTCCCTTCCTGGGGCATACAAATTATTAATTAAGTACTGAAGTACCCCTGCCGTCAGGAATGAGTTGTCAATTATAGACGCTAAAATAAAAATTTACCATAAAACATACTTAACAGCAAACGCCATGAATAACAAAAATTTAAAGCTTACCAAATGATACCCAGCAACATCAAGACGTGCTGAATAGGTGGGTTACCTCGCCGCATTATTTATAAATTAATGGGGACCTAGCGGTATGTAAAATTATTCTACCTGTGAATGTTGCTCCTGGATCGAATTTGGGAGGCATTTTATAGAACTAAAATGACGGTTGTAGTGTTGGATGAGTCCAGATAGACACGACCAAAAACTGTTGCACCAAACCGTCTGGGTTGGGAAAGAAAAAAGGAAGTGTTAGAGTAAGCCGGAAATGAAGATCTGCTAGTTACTTTCCGAATTCGCAACATAAAATTTAATAAATTTTATAAATAATTATGCAAATAATTTTTTTTGTAAAAGCAAGTGGTAGCCTGCATATAATTTTTATATTATTATTATTTCGGGGGTGGGGGTACTTTTGGCATTCGTCAGTTTCCAGTTAAGTAATAACAGTAGCTGGACGTTTCTCTGGCGAAACCACCGAGAGGTCAGTGCGAGATGTTGGGTATGGATATTTAGCTTGTTCCCACTCAACAGACATTCCACCCAGGAAAACGTCCAATGGCCCGAGGGCACAAAAGGGTTCGACACTAGAAATAATGATATTGCTATGCTGCTATGTATGAGGGAGAAGGAATTGTTGAAGAATATTTGATTGATTGATTGATTGATTAATTGGATATTTATATAGCGCTGGTATCCATGCTACTTTGACATGCTCACTGCGCTCTGGTTTTATTAAATCTATTTTTAAAAAAAGGTTTTTAATGTTACTTAGATGATTTTTCATCATTTTCAATTCCCCTCAAAGATTGGGGCAAACTGTTCCATAATTTTGGCGCTATTGATTCAAAAGAGCGCACTCTGTGTTAGACTTTTTTCTGCGTCCATCCACACTGGGAACTCTCCTCAGTAAGGACTGTGTTGGAGACCGCACTGTGTCCATCCACACTGGGAACTCTCCTCAGTAAGGACTGTGTTGGAGACCGCACTGTGTCCATCCACACTGGGAACTCTCCTCAGTAAGGACTGTGTTGGAGACCGCACTGTGTCCATCCACACTGGGAACTCTCCTCAGTAAGGACTGCGTTGGAGACCGCACTGTGTCCATCCACACTGGGAACTCTCCTCAGTAAGGACTGCGTTGGAGACCGCACTGTGTCCATCCACACTGGGAACTCTCCTCAGTAAGGACTGTGTTGGAGACCGCACTGTGTCCATCCACACTGGGAACTCTCCTCAGTAAGGACTGCGTTGGAGACCGCACTGTGTCCATCCACACTGGGAACTCTCAGTAAGGACTGTGTTGAAGACCGAACTGTGTCCATCCACACTGGGAACTCTCAGTAAGGACTGCGTTGAAGAGCGCACTGTGTCCATCCACACTGGGAACTCTCAGTAAGGACTGCGTTGAAGACCGCACTGTGTCCATCCACACTGGGAACTCTGTAAGGACTGCGTTGATGACCGCACAGATCCTTCTATGCAGCTGTACGCCAGGGACAGAATTTTGTAGTTACAGGAACCCAATTAAGTTAAGTAGGTCAGTGCTACAATAGGCAGAAATACGAACCTTCTCAAGGGAAAAGTGGATCTATAGAATGTATGTGAAATGAAAGCACCACGTGATCGCACTACATGCTCAGCTATAACTGGGTACTGGTCAACGACCACATTTGAATGTATTGTGCAAAACCGAGAAGTGGCAGGGGGCCTTCAAAAGTCAGGTGACAGCTTTGCTGACAGACACGCACATACAACATTGGGCAAGCACACACACCATCGGACAAGCACATACACCATCGGACCCCTGAATGTCACCATTTCTGATCATCACTTTTCCCTCGCTACCCTAAAAATGGCACCTTCCACCTTCTGTGGCGCGAGCACGGTCGTGGCTCAGACATCCGCAAACATCTTCCAGTGCAACAAACATCTTCCAGTGCAATAAACATCTTCCAGTGCAAAAAACATCTTCCAGTGCAACAAACATCTTCCAGTGCAACAAACATCTTCCAGTGCAACAAACATCTTCCAGTGCAACAAACATCTTCCAGTGCAACAAACATCTTCCAGTGCAACAAACATCTTCCAGTGCAACAAACAGCACGGCGGAATTACGTCACATTACTTTTGGAGTTTATATTTTAGTATAGGCCTACTGTTCAGCCGACTACAGCTGAAAAATATTCATTACACAATGACAACACTATGCATGACACACTGACAACCCTATGTATTACACACTGACAACCCTATTTATTACACACTGGCAACCCTATGTATTACACACTGACAACCCTATTTATTACACACTGACAACCCTATGTATTACACACTGACAACCCTATTTATTACACACTGGCAAACCTATGTATGACACACTTCTTCTATATCTTAAGGGCCCGCGATCAATTTATTGATCATTTTGGCTCCTATGCATGTAGATGGGATTTGCAATGTTTCTGTTCCTGGTGTTGATGAGGAAATTTCACAGATTTCCAGTGCCACTTTGTGAGGGAATCATGCACTAGGGGTTTGAAGGCTTGAGGCAATAGACACAAATGTGTCTAGTGTTGTCGCCTCAACCGTTCCTTTTGAAAGATTGTTCCAGTCCCTGATTGTCTTGGGCAGGAATGAGCAGCTCCTATACTGGCTTCT